TTATTCCATGAAACACCTCACCCCAGTGGATACTTTTAGTGGACAACAATGTCTGAGTAGATACTCTGTTTATTTATTAAACAGCATATTTATTTATTTACATCTACCAGACAGGATATTTGAGGAATCTTATTAGAAAAATTCATTCCTAAATATGGTGGACTCTCTGGTGATATTTGACGTACAAGAGTCAACCAGCTCAGTTCCTAGGAACCAACAGCCAGACACCAGCATATATAATTTGATTATAGTGGTGAAGGCTTTGTGCAGAACCATCCATACTTTTTGAAGGGATGAATACAGAGACCTGGTGCACTACATGCCACAAGGTCCCCACACAACCCTCTGCAGATTTTGAATTCAGAGTTGGCCTTCTCCTCGACCAGTTGCCATCCAAGGCTATAGAACCCAGTCTGTTCTGCTATTTACCCATAGCTGGAGGGAGAAGAGGATTAATACCTTTCTGAAGGGTATTAGGACAAGTGAATGTAATGGATTCAACTGGAATTCAAACTCAGCTCTAGAATTCCTCAATCCAAGCTGCTATCCACTATTCCACTGTGCCTTCTCCTCTTCCTATATATTTTGAAATTTGTGTATTTAGGCAGCAAATTCACTTTTAGGCATGTCTGATTAAATAAATTAGAGACATTATGTCTGCTTACTTTTAATAAAATCTGTTCATACTCACGGATAACCTTCCATGTATTGCAATTAAATGATGTGAGAAATGTGCTATAACTATGAAAATCATTTTTATTTTCCAGTTCTCAATTACTTTTGATCTTTTCCAAGATCATCTTCAGGGGTGTACGTAGTAATACAAAATTATGTGTTGTTCACAGGTGCAAGCAGTAATACAAAACTGTTTTTTCATATTCATTACTGTAATTTTTCTTTTTGCTTTCAAATGCAACGGTTGACAGTCATGCTTAGCATTCATTAAAACATGAAAAAATTATCCACTATAGAATATTTTCTTCTGTGTTGTAATGTCACGATCATGCGCACATTAAAGTGTGAAAAACTGTTCTTTTTATAGACATTTTAGAAAATTACTACAGTATTTGTAGTTGATTCTATTAAGTGATGCCTTTAACTTTTTAATGCTTCCTCCTTAAGATAAGGCTGCAGGAACACCGTGAAGTCATAACAGGAAGGGGAATAGAAAAATCAGGCATGGCAGATCATATATTTTCAAAAAATACTGCTTTGAGAGTCTGTAGTTTGAATTTTTTGTTTTCTTAGTGTAGGAGAATTTATTATCTCTAATTTATTTAATCATATATATATATATATATATATATATATATATATATATATATATATATATATATATATATATATACACACACAAACACAGAGTGCGATGGATAAATTGTCATCTAAATTATGCAAAAATGAAAATAACACTGACATGTCATTTTAACAGATATATTTACCAAAATTACACAAAATATCTTGAAATAATAAAGAGTAAATTTATTTTTTTTAAAAAATCGCAGTTGGCTTCAACCAGAGTCTCCAGACAACTTCAGAATCTCCTGCAACTCTTCTGGACAGTCTCCTTGCTTAAGTTGGTGAATGCTGCCATAATCGTTGCCTTCAGTTCATCTTCGGTATTACAAGGGGTTTTATTGGTCTCTCACTCAACTGCACCCCATACATAATAATAATAAAGGAGGTTGCAGTCTGGGGAGTTAGATGTGGCCAAATGTAAGGAGTGACATATATATATATATATATATATATATATATATATATTTCTACCAACTAACTTCATCACAACTCTAATTGAAAAGAATTAATCTAAACTCAACATAAAATTTGTCAAAACAAAATTGGAGATTTTTTTTTAATCATTTCACTTCAAGCAAAGCAATAATACCAGCAAAACACAAGGAGCTCCTCAGAGTAAGAGAAAATGAGAAGACTTTAGAAGGAACTGGAAACTAAATCCCAAACTTGAATTTGTCCAGCGTTTCTTACCATATACCAGATTAAATATTATGTAGTTCATATTTTCCAATCACTTAACACTTCATTTAATTTTTGTGAGTTTGTTATAATACATCCAAAACAGCACATCATAACAAGCTGGTGTCTTTTGCACCAGGAATGTTGAGATTACCCCATCCCTTCTGTCTGAAATTCTGTCTGAGGTGCAGCTCCTATGCCCAGGCTGGCGACTGACTGATGGACACTTGGAACAGGTGGTTTGGGGAGAGGCATTCCCCTTCACCGGTTGGGTCAAGAAACCCTTACAACTACACTCACACAGTTTAGCTGGAAAGTTGATACCATTGATCAGGATGTGGCCAATGTGACTTCTTCTGTGAGAGTTGGATATAGGCCATCCACCAGTACAGTTCCACATCCCAATTTATCTGAGTAAAGCAGGATCAACTGCTTTGCTGTATTAATGATACACTCCATACCCAAAACATTTTTTTTATTTTAAATTTTCAGCATCCTCTCTCCCTTGTCCACATGTTTAGTCAAATTAACATAAACATCACTTTAGTCCAAAGAAGTCCTAAAGGATGAAACACATTACATGAAACTTTTTCCCACTATGCCATTGTTTTCCTGTAAATTTGTTAAAATCAAATATTCCATAAAAAAAAGAGGTAACTGATATTAACCAATAATCTGACTTTGTTCTGGTACCCCTGGGACATTTTTAGAGTTTGGAATTCAGATTCCAGTCAGAAATGATATATAGATTGTAAATATAGAACATTTTTTCACAGAACATTGGCCTGCTAATAGATGCAAATTCAATAAAGTTTCATGGGACAAAAAGAAATAAAAATAAGAAAGACTCCCTGATGGTTACTTACAAATGTTAAATCTGACAATTCTCATAAATATTAAAAGATCATAAAAATATTTTTTTTCATTTTAGTTGTCTGCTTGTTTTCAGCACCATTCCTTTTTTTTTATTTCAAATAATAAACTCCTATTTACAGTGGAAACTTCATGATACTGTGTTGCAATATCAGAATGGAGCATTAATTACTTAGCAGCATATAAGAGACAAGTTTTGTTTGTTTTTCGTTTTTTCAAAAATCTAGATTCCAAAATCAAAAAAGTATAATTTAAATAACTTATTAAGTATTCTAAGAGAGGATGGAAAGTATGACACTGAAATTTGAAGGAGCATCAAGATAGTGAAAGATGCCTTCCAAAAACAAAGCAAAGAAACAGTAAAATTTCATTAGAAACAAAATAAAGAGTACTGAATTGTTATTTAATATCAGTCCTCTTATATGGCAATGAATGCTGGACAATCTTCTCATAGATAGAGAAGAGACTTGAGGCAACAGATATGTGGTTCTACAGAAGGATGCTGAGAATACCATGGACTGAACATGTGAGTAACGACAAAGTTTCAGAGAAAATGGAAACAGAAAGGACACTTATAGCATCAGAAAGAGACAGTTGAATTATCTAGGGTATGTAAGAAAGAGGGCTTGGAAAATTTGATACTCACCAGTCATATTGAGGGACAAGAGGAAAACAATGCATAACCTACCTTGAGAGCTTGAGGAACTGGAGGACAGAACAAAGTTTAGGAAATATAACAAAAAGACAATATTTAATAAGAGCTATGAAGGACAGGAAATTTTGAAGAGCTATGATTGCCAATGTCACAGAGAAGAAGAATACTCGATTTTCAACAGTTTTTGAGACATACAAAAATAATTACACAAACAGAACATTAAGATTATTTAAAGAATGCAATGAGGACTTTCAGATAAAGTCCCTATAAAAAAGAGCCTCAAATGATGAAAATGGGTTTTATTTTCCACTATTTGCAATTTTAAAATAGAAACATTTGTAATTTGAAATGTACATGCAAATCATATAGAAAGCAAGCACTAAAATGTTGAAAATTTCAGTTATATGAAACCAGGTGATCAGAAGCCACCTATTGAAAAATGCTATGTACTTTGTTTCAACCTAATATTTTCCCAACTAAAGAATGGTTTATACCCAAGTTGAGGGCATATGTAAAGCAAACTTCATATAAGTAAGATACATTTCTTGTTAATTTTAATGCCTCCAAAAAGGACTGCTCTCTTTTAATTGTCTTCGAGAACCATTTTTGACTTCCATTAGTATGGTTGATGCTAACCTCACTGCGCTTTCTCAGGCTAATGTTTTCCACTGACCTGAAGAATAGAATCAATTGCTATGTCTACTGCTAGGAAAGTTGGTTCACTGTATCATGCTAGTATATTTTTCTTACCAGAATCTACCATTCATCCATGTTTTGAATGTTGCTATCATATAGCTTTTACTTTGTATTTAGAGATTTTTGAAAAATAACAAAGAATCTGCAATATTATTGGTCCTGAGCTGGCATCTCAGCTTCAGTCACATTATCACCACTGTAACATAGCTTCCCAGTGTCTTTTCTATAAAAGTTTTCATCATAATATTTCTGAAGGGATTTCCTTTTTGTTACCATGGTGTAAGTTTAAGCATAGTACAAAATTGGCAGTTAGGTCTCATCATTTTACAGTTGAAATTGCTGGATGTAAATATAAGGTCTGTTAACAGTTTATTCTTATGTACTTCTTGCTTTCCAGATTCTTTTTTTTAATCATTTTACCCCAAGCAAGGCAAGAACGCCACTAGTACACAGGAGGTTACAGAGAGTGAAAATGGGAGAAAAGACTGGGTATGGGGGGGGACCAAGGAAAGGATAAAAGCTGAACAGGATTCAAGAAGATAGAAGATGGTGATTGACATTGCATTTAAATTTTTGAAGATTTAGTTATCAGAAAACAAAGAAACGAATGAGAATTCCACATGCAAGAAATGCAAGAAAAGAAACTGTTGGAGTAGAAGAGGTGGTGGCATTTACCTAATTCAACAGGAAAAAGGGTGGGACCTAAATGCCAATCTGATTGAAATGTTCTTTTAAATAATTATATTCTGAAGAGAAAATGATTTTTAAATGGTTTTCTTTTTTTTCCCCCTTTTTATAGCAACTTGGGTAGGAGGAGCTTACATCAATGGAACGGCAGAAATCATTGTTCGAGATGGCTTACTGTGGTGCCAGGCCCCAGTTGGATATGCCCTCAGTCTTATATTTGGTAAGTAAATAGTTTTTTTTTTTTTTTTCTAGAATTTAAAAGCAGACAAAAAGCTAAAAATGAATACTTGAATTCTGGAAACCTTTCAAGAATAAATTTTATAAAAATCCCAGAATCTCTCCTTTACTCTGTGAATAGAATGAAACTCATGATCAAACTGTAAAGGAAAGGAGGAATGGTCTTTGGGTGAGAAACAAAGTTTTCTAACCCATGGGAACAGTTATTCATTTGTTTGATCTTGCAGGAGCTCGTAATCAGAGCCAGTGCATAATACCCAGTAATATCTAACTGAGAAAAGGGCCAAAGCCTGATTGTGGTCCCTGGGCAATGCTTTGTGACCCTTACTATCTTATCAACATTTGCTTTTTTTCTACCTACATTTATATACATTTCAAATTAAACAACTATTACAGGAGGAAAGATTTGACATCATTCTGGGGTCATTTTTTTCATCCAAATCTATGAATTTATTTTGCTCATGTTATGTCTCGAAAAAACACTACATAAAATTCGCTATTTTTTTATCTGTAATATTGAATGTGTTAAAATTATTCAACTTTTTAACAAGAAAAATTTCAAGCTGATATTGAAAATTGCCACAAAACATTGTTGATTTATTTGAGATGGAATCATCTATCATGACATGTCTCTAATTTGTATTTAGATACATTGTATTTATTTTCAATTTTTCTAGTTGAATTGTTCACCTACATTGCATATGATCCATTATTGTATATAATTAAGTTACAATAAAATTTGTATTTTATATGAATACTACCTTAGGAAAATTGAAATGTAATAGAGTGGGGGCTCTGTATCATTGCACCAGACCTGCTTATAATAGCTCTTTTCCTTTTCCTCCCTCAACTTTTTTGCTCCACATTGTTGTAAACAATCCATTTTTCATTGCCTGTGATTGCTCTTTTCAAAAATGGATCATTTTTGCTACATTTGAGCAGAGAATTACAAATTTATATACAATATCCTTATCTTATTGTGTTATATGCAAAATGTAATTGTGTGTATTGTCCGTAATATCTATAACTTTTAATGTCACCAACAACAGTTTCTTTATTATAAGAATAGCTGATTATTTCAATGAATAATGAAAAAAAGAGTGTCTCTTAAGTTTAGAAAAAACGAGAAATGAATCATAAAATATGGGTGTGTAGACAAACACACAAGTAAACTACGATAATCAGGTAAAATATATTTAAAGACTCACATGTGAAAGCCTTCTAATAATAGCTTCATAAAATATGCCATCGTTATGATTTACTGGACATAATGTGGGGGATCAGTTTTCTATTGCTATCAAGTAATAAACTGATACCCCAGAATTAAAATGCATTAGCATCATAATTAGAAAAACTATATTTTAAGACATAGATGTGAAAATCTAATTGTAGGAAGTTAACAAAATATGGCCTCATTTTTTATAGCATGGGTAAAATAGTATTTATACAAGATTCTACTGGACATAATGTGAGGGATTGTTTTTTTTTTTTGCTATTAAGTAATATACTGATCCCCCTGAATTACACAGCATGGTAATATAATAAAAATATATATTTAAAGACTCACATGTGAAAAATTTCTAATAATAGTAAGGACTTCATAAAATATAACATTGTTTTTTATGTCATCGGTAAACTAGAATTACTATAAGATTCTATTGGGTATAATGTGGTGAATTGGTATTCTATTGTTATTAAGTAATAAACTGATCCTCAAGAATTATTACATATTAGTAATTACAAACTGATATATTTAAAGGTTCACATATGAAAACCTAATAATAGTAAGATCTTAATAAAATATAATTTTTGACAGCCTGGTTAAACTAGTAGTAATATAAGATATTTTGGAAAGAAAGTGGGGGATTGGTATTCTATTGGTATAAAGTAATAAACTGATCCCCCAAGAATTATTACATAATTGCAAACTGATATACTTAAAGGTTCAGATATGAAAACCTAATAATAATAGTAATTTCTGGAGATAATAATGGTTTAATGATACAAGTCTTATTACTCCATAGATTGCTAAAATATATTTAAAGGTTCACGTATGAAAACCTTTTAATATTAGGTTTTAATAAAATATAATGTTTGACAGCCTGGTTAAACTAGTATTAATAGATGATTCTACCGGACATAAAGTGGGGGATCGGTATTAAGTAATAAACTGATCCCCCAAGAATTATTACAAACTGATACATTTAAAGGCTCGGATATGAAAATCTAATAATAGTAAGGACTCCATGCAAGGCATTACTGGGAGTAGAAGAGAATGAGAAGACTTTAGTGAGGAGAAAGGACAACAAAAAGAAAACGCAAGATGGCTATAAACAATGAATTTAAATTTTGAAGATGGCTGGGAAGCAACAAATCAGAAAAGATTTCCACTGGCGAGAAGTGCAAGAAAAGAAACAGTAAGAATAGAACTTACAGTACAAGTATTTTGTACACAATTTTATTTTATTATATGGAGATAATAGTTTTACCAATAGAAGTCTTATTAATTACTCTATAGATTACTAAGATATATTTAAAGGTTCACATATGAAAACCTTTTAATATTAGATCTTAATAAAATATAATTTTTGACAGCCTGGTTAAACTAGTATTAATAGATAATTCTACTGGGCACAAAGTGAGGGATCGGTATTCTATTGCTATTAAGTAATAAACTGATCTCCCAAGAATTATTGCATATTAGTAACTGCAAACTGATATATTTAACGGCTCAAATATGAAAACCTAAAAAAAGTAAAGTCTTAATAAAATATAATTTTTGACAGCCTGGGTAAACTAGTAGTAATATACGATTCTACTGATCATAAAGTGGGGGATGTATATTCTATTGTTATCAAGTAATAAACTGATCCCCCAAACATTATAACATGTTAGTAATAGAAAACTGATACATTTAAAGGCACACATACAAAAACCTGATAATAATAGTCAGGTCTTAATAAAATATAATTTTTGACAGCCTGGGTAAACTAGTAGTAATATAAGATGCTATCTGATATAAAATGGGGGATCGGTATTCTACTGATATCAAGTAATAAACTGATCCCCCATGAATTATCGCATATTAATAATTGCAAATATATACTTAAAGACTCACATGTGGAAGGCTTCTAATAATAGAATACCCTTTCATTTTTGATGGCATGTTGTAAACTTGTATTAAAAACAAGATTCTACTCGACACAAAGTGGGGGACCAGTTTTATGTTGTTATTAAGTTATGAACTGATCACCAGGAATCATTACATGTTAATAACTGGAAGAAATATATTTAAAGTTTCACATATGAATAAACAGATCTGTCAAACTTACATCATATCAATAATTGGAAAAATTATAAGATTAACAACTCACATTTGAAAACATTCTAATAATAAAGAGGACTTAACAAAATATGCTGTCATTTTTATGGTATCAATAGAATAGTATTAGGTTGGTGCAAAAATAATGACGTAATAATGTCGTTTTTTGATGTTAAAAAATACGTCAACAACTTAATTTATGCACCTGAGATGATCCCTCAAGAATTACTACATAATAATTAGACAAATGTGATTAAAGACTCACATGTGAAAATATTCTAATAGAAAGGACTTCATAAAATATACTGTCAATTTTGATGGTACCAGTAGATTAGTATATTAATATAAAGTTCTACTGGACAAAAAGTGGGGGATCTATTTTATATTGTTATTAAGAACTAAGCTGGTCCCTTTGATTTAATTTATATTAATATAATAATTGAACAAATATAATTAAAGACTCACATTTGAAAACATTCTAATAATAGAAAGGATTTTATAAAATATGCTGTCAATTTCGATGCTATCAGTAGACTAGTATCAATATAAGATTCTACTGGACAGAAAACGAGGGATCTGTTTTTCATTGTTATTAAGTATTAAACTGAGCCCCCTCCAGGATTACTACATCTTAATATAATAATTGAATGTGGCTGGAGTCATTATCCAGCACCTGAGATGCTTCTGAAAGGGGGAAAGCTGAGAGGACTTGAGCAATTTTGAACAGCTTGAACGTAGATGGGTGGGTGGTTAAATACCAACAATTCCGGTACTAGTTCTATGTACAGGTATAAAGAACATGATACAAATTTACATATGCCACTGGGGTATTAATTTATTACTTAATATCAACATAAAATCAACCCCCACTTTATGACCAGTAGAATTTATGTATGACTGAACAGTTTCATTGAGAGCCCCTGAATTTGGGAAGCTTACCTCTTGTATCTTGAGTAGCTTGTGACGTCTGGTGTAGTAGTTAACATTCTGGAAGTTTTCAGCCAAACCCTTTATTCAATGAACAGAGTTCCACTGTTCATGTATGAGTAAATCTTATAACAAAGAAAGAAAAAAAGAGATGATGAGTCCACAAAAATACAACATCTTTCAAAAACACCAGAAGACAAAGAGAAAAGTCAAAGAGAACATAAAGAAAAGTATTCTACCATGCAGTGGCCACAGACATTTCTTCAGATACAACATTGAACTCATTTCACACAGAAGAAAATGTCAATGAGCACCCAAGCACAAGTTCCACCAGTGATGAAAAATCCTGTAGCAGCTAACTGTTCTTAATACAGAAGATACAACTAGTGAAATGTTGTGACTATAAAAACAAAGATGAGGACACTAGACCAAGTAAAACAATGTATAAATTTATGACTATAACAACCAAGATAAGGATACTAGTCCAAATATATCAGTTATAGGATAATAATTATGATATTTCCTCAGGTCATAAATTCAAAATCTATGACTATAACAACCAAGATGAAGATACTAGTCCAAATATATCAGTTATAGGATAATAATTATGGTAATTCCTCATCTCAAAAATTCAGACATTGAATAAATATTGTAATGTAAGTTTATGTATAAAAAGTTAATTCTTGCAATGTCCAAATGTCTTATTTTTAACTTATTCAAGCTTGGTTTCATTTAATGAAATATTAAAAATATTTTCCTTGTTTCTTTGCATAATAAAAATGGCAACATTATTTTAGGTAAGCATTTAAATATCTAACCACTCATATCTGATAGATATTTATTCTTTCTCCAAAAATATTGAATTAAATATTGTTAATGTAGAATTGAAAGTTCATAGAGGATTCACCAATTCTTCCTTCTTGCAAATAGAAAACAAACTGGCAACCAAAACAAACAACAAAATTTAATATTTCATAAAGCACAAGATATCTCACTTGGATTTTGGTAACTGGTGACTTGAAACAAAATGAGGTCAATATTAAAAAAGTTTAGAAAGGCCGACACATACTACACCTGAACCCCCAACTGAGGTGGGCCCAAGCCTGATTGGGGGCTCCAGGCAATGCTTTGCAATTTTCGCTATCTTATCAACATTTTTTCTGCCTATATTCCTATGTTACAAATTAAACTAAGCACAACTGACTATAAAAGGATGAAAATTTTTTACAGATTTTGACATAATTCTGAGGTCTTTTCTTTTGTTCAAATCTGTGAATTTGATTGTTTTTTTTTTTACAACAGGTTAAATGCAACATTAGTCTTCTGTGCCCCAAAAGCCATCTTCCTTGATCTTTGATCTGAAACTAATTTAACCCTATGCAGCAAGAGATGAAAAGAACTTTGTCTCAAAAAGATATTACTAAAAACCTAAGCTACACAAGCTTCACCAGCCTTCTTTTATGTGCCATATCCCTTCAGGACAGACAATCATGGCCCGCCACATTTTCCTCTACTTTATAGCTCCTAACAAGTTTTGCCTTATTATTTCCCCCAAACCCTGTTCTGCCATCCATTTACTCAACCTCATCAAGTATGTTACATGCTGCTTTCCTCTGTCCCTCTTACCCTCAATCTCTCTTGTGAGTATCAGATTTTCCAAGCCCTCCTTCCTTATTACATGCCCCAGAAATTTCAACTGCCTCTCCCTGGTGTTAATTAGAAGTTTTCTTTTTGTTTCCATTTTCTCTAAAACCTCATCATTGCTTACATGTTCAGTCGATGGAATCCTCAGCATCTACTTGGTGAAAATATCACTTACAATGTTATGACGGAATTTTGGAAAAATGTGAAAATTGAGATGTAGTAGAGCAGGAGGCCCGTATCATAGATTCAGGGATGGGGGAACCCATGAAACCCTTGCACCATCCCTGAAGGCATGCATTACAAAATGCAGGAAGGTTCATGAATGGATGAGATTTTGAGGTCCATATTTATGAGAAGCTAGTAAAAAAAAAAAAAAAAAAAAAAAAAATTATTTCAGGAGGTGATAATTATTAAATTTTAATCACAAAATACTATTCTTTATTCATTTTATTTATTTACACCTGCTTAACAAACCTGAGTACCAAATAAAAAGCAGAAAAAATAAAGCTCCCTTTTGCACCTCAGCAACTGAAGTTAGTGCATTCTGCAAGGAAGCAGATTTAATGATAATCATTCCCTCCCCCATCATAATTCTCTCTCAAAGGACAAGCTCACAAGGTTGAGTATCAATTAAAACTATAACTGTCTTTGTTTTTGTTTCAGGTGGTCTCTTCTTTGCTGAGAAGATGCGAACTTCAGGGTATGTCACCATGCTGGACCCCTTTCAAATTAAATATGGTGAACGAATGGGGGGGTTACTCTACCTTCCTGCACTTCTTGGAGAGGTTTTCTGGTCAGCTGCTGTTCTCTCAGCACTGGGTAAGTGAATCCCCATTTCACCAGACATTGTATAAAATAATTAGGCAAACATGGATAAACATGGCCGCAATAAGACAGAGTATTAAAAGGATATTTTTTTTTCTTTGACATGACTATTTTCACTCTTCAGGAATGTTTATTGTTTTAAAAAGTGATTACTAGAATTTTAATAAAACCAAAACATATGAAAGTGAATTTATACATTTTCTTTGTTCTTGAGAATTTACAACAAAAATAATAAACACTATTAGATTTATTTACACTAATGTATTATTTATGGGAATGATTGACAAAACATCGACTAATTGCCAATTGATTTAATTTTATATAAAATGGTAAATAATAAGGATTTCCTTATAGTTGGTTCACATATTTTAATAATTTAGTAAATGTTTATAAATCTATGAATAAAAAATGAAATTTCACATTTATTTCTTTATAAATTGATAAATGATAAATATTGAATTGCATTAGTTTTAATTGTATTAGTTTTTACAATGTCCATATAAGATTATTCTTGTAAATAAAGAATTTGATAAATAAATAATGCTTAATATTTCTGTTGTAAATTCTTAAGAACAAAAAAAATGGATAAATTCACTTTCATCATATGTTTAGGTTTTATTACAATTCTAATCATCACTTTTTAAAACAATAAACATTGCTGAAGAGTGAAGTTAGTTAAAAAAATTTAGAATCTAAATTAAATATTGTATGAACACAAAAGAGACATTTTATAAAACAATATGTCAAATGCATTTGCTGCCCACCATAGCAAAACTGACCACAATTTTGACATTAAAAATGCTACTCTAATTAAAAGAGAAAATAATTCACTACGACACAAGATCATTTACAGTAAGTTTGGCCTCTGGCTCTTACAACAATTCACTATTCCTGGTAGAACTTCTAATATTATGGTGTGGAATACCTACTTACAAAAGTCATGGAAAGAAAAAGACTCGAAATGAATTTGGCTTGATATAAAAAAAAATTCTAAGCTTCCCAGCACTCCTCATTCATTCATATATTTAGTGGTACCAACATAACAAATTTAGTCTGATGAAGTCCTGAAGGACAAAACATGTTACAACATGTTACAAGTAAACTTTTTCCACTTTAGCATAGAATTATTTTTTTTAGATATCAGATGAAATAATAAATAATATAATAATAATAAATATATATATATATATATATATATATATATATATATATATATATATATATATATATATATATATATATATATATATATATATATATAATATATATATATATATATATATATATATATATATATATATATATATATATATATATATATATATATATATATATATATATATATATATATATATATATATATATATATATATATATATATATATATATATATATATATATAAAATATATATATATATATATATATAATATATATATATATATATATATATATATATATATATATATATATATATATATATATATATATATATATATATATATATATATATATATATATATAAAATATATATATATATATAAATAAAATATATATATATACACACACACACACACAAGGGCACCTTGAAGCGGTGTAATGCTTAGCAAGCTTGTCTCGCTAGAACAATTACAACTGAGTAGTGAGTTCGATCCTCACTGGGTGCCTCCTACTTCCGGCCTTGTGCCACATCTAAGCTATGCTTTGAAAATCTCTATATATATATATACACACACAAACCGTATAATATATTTTATTATATATCATATAAAATAAGTATATTTTATTATATGTATATATATCATATAAAATAATAAATTTTATTATAGATATATATATATATATATATATATATATTGTATAAAATAATTTATAAATATATTTTAATATATATATATATATTGCATAATATAATAAATATATATATATATCATGTATAAAATAAAAATATAATAAACGTATATTGTATAAAATATATCATGTATAAATTAATAAACGTATATTGTATAAAATATATCATGTATAAATTAATAAACATATATTGTATAAAATATGTGTGTGTGTATATGTGTGCATGTATCTCTATTATTATAGCAGTTAAAAGAGTTTTACTAATAACAGATTTCTAATTTTTCTTCTTATTCAATTGAAAAGTGTGAAGAACAAAAATTCTACTTGGGAAAAATAATGAGGAAGAGTTTAAACTTCGCATTTGTAATCATCATGATTAAAACTAACAGAAAAAACATGAAGACTACTGCAGCAGTGGTGGTAATAATAATCTTTAATCTGACATTGGGGGGGATGATGATGATGATGTAGTAGTAGTAGTAGTAGTAACGTTGGTGGTGAAAATGTTTGTCATTTATTATTAATGTTGTCTTTTGTCCTTCAGGTGCCACATTGGCTGTAATTCTTGAACTCGACACCAACATCTCGATTATTGTGTCTGCCTGTATTGCCATATTTTACACACTTTTCGGTGGACTCTACTCAGTAGCGTATACAGATGTCTTGCAACTTTTCTTCATCTTTTTCGGCTTAGTAAGTTTTGCTGACAAGTTTTTTTTTCATTTTTCAATGATTTCAAAACAAAAAAAAAAAGGATAAAAATGAATATTTTCTTGGCTAAGCAAAAACTTTCCTTTACTCAGCTGAGGCTGATGTCTAATCTGATTTTTTTTTTTCATTATTAGTGAAAAGAGATAAAACAGCCTACACTGTGTTAAGTATGATGTTTGACCAACCATGAAATGACTTTTGCTGTATTTGGTCTTCTTTTGTTGTTTTCTTTGAATCAATTCACCCCAAGGAAGGTGATAATGCCACTAAGATGCAAAGGAGCTACTGAGAGTGAAAGAGAATAAGACTTTAAAAGGAACCGGAAACCCAGTTCTAAACAGGAAACAATAGATAAACCTCCTCTACTCCTGTTTAAAAGATCAAGGGGGAGTGTGAAATGGATGATAGGTGAACCTATTTACTCCTACTGATGAAAAAAAACTTAAACAAGAAATATAAACAGTAAATAAAATTTCAGAATTTAGGCAAAGATTTTAGAAGTATACATTTTAAGTAGACTTCAGGAAGAACCAGAAACCCAATCGTAAACAAGAAACAAGAGATAACCTCCACTTCTGTTCAAAAGACCCGGGAGTAATGTGAACTGGATAATAGGCAAAGCTGTCTACACCTATTGAGGAAAAAAAATAAACTAAAAAATATAAATAGTAAATAAAATTTCATAGTTTAGATGGAGATGTTAAACATACAGAGTTAAAGTAAACTTTACAATGAAGTGGAAAGGTAAATATCGGTTTTGTTACCCGTGTGCCGTATCCCTTCAAATTTTTCCAAAATCGTCATAATTCCGTGCAAATGTACATGCTGAACTCGAATTAACAATTAAATTATGCAGAAACCTTACCGTTTTGGAGTTATCGAAAAGAAAAAAAATCGGACTTCTTGTTGATCATTCATCTCCCATTACTGCCATCATGAATCTTGATTCAATGCGGGATACCTACGCCTGTGTAATAAGAAAATTTGGCCTATTTACTTCTTTTACAGACTTTCCTTGCAGAAAATCACTACACACAGGTAACCAAAACCAATATTTACCAGTGGAAATTCAATCCTAAACAGGAAACAAGGGATAAACCTCTACTCTGGTTTAAGAAATCAGGGAGGAGTGTGAACCGGGCGATAGGCGGAAATATCTACTCTGATTGCAAAAAAAGTAAATGAATAAAAAACAAAAATAACAGATAAATCATAAATACAATTTCGGAGTTTAGATAGAGGCTGAAATGTTAGAAGTATAGTGTTGATGTAAACTTTAGAAGGAACTGGAAACCCAATCCTAAACAAGAAACATGGATTGGGTTTCCAGTTTGTTCTAAAAGGAACCAGAAACCAAATCCTTGTTCTTATTCTCTTCTACTCAGAGTAAACCCTTGGATCTTAGGGACATTAAAATGTCTTCAGTTTTTATTTAATATTTGTATATCTTACCTGTTTCAGTGGATATCTCTTCCATTTGCAATCACTCATAAAGCAACTCATAGCATTGCCATCAATGCCACAACCAACTGGATTAAGAGCATTGACACGAACGCAATTGGTGGCTATATGGACAGTTACCTTTTACTGATATTTGGAGGAATTCCGTGGCAGGTAAACAATTCACATTTATTTTGCTAACTTCACCTGTTTTTTTCTTTATTTCGGATCAACTACATGATAAATTTGACAGTGTTGTCCCAATCATGTGAACATCCAAGAAAGCTAAAAGAGTGGTAAGGTCTACTTTCCCAGCAGAGATGTTGGCCATTGTAGAAGCAAATGACTCAGGCTTGAATGATAAGATTTCATGTGTAGTTCTCTACATGGATAACAAGAATCTATATAAGTTCAGACCTCAAATATGATGGTCAAAAAGAGGCTGTTAATAGACCTTTCAGCACGCAGAGAAATGGTAGAAAAGTATCAATTTTTCCAGATTTCTGGCAGATTGATTGACCAAGCAGCGTGCCAGCAAACAAAAGCTTATTGAAGCTATCACCATGGGACATTTAAATTTTCCACCAGCAATGTCATTAACTCAATGACATTTATATATATATATATATATATATATAAAACAGCAGGGGAAGGTGGTGCCTTTGTGTACTCAAAGATAAAGCTTTAAAAGAAAGGCGTTTGTTGTAAGGGCAAAACCCAATAAAAAGGGAAGTAACTCTTTGATGACTGATAGAAATGCAGTGGAGTTAAAATGGAGTGTAAAAATAGCATACAGTGTATTATGTTGATTTGTTGACTAAGTTAGGTTTGAAAACTTACGATTCTGGATTATTTTGTGGAGAATAAATGTAACTTGAGTCTAATTAGTTTCAGTGTCAACTCCAATTCTAAGTTTGTGAACCTTTTGCCATATTACTGTTAATTTGCCTTGTATATATTGTTTGATATATATATATATATATATATATTTGCCCTGTTCTTTTCTTTTTCTTGTTATTGAAAATTAAGAACTTTGTTAATTAGCTTTGTTCGGTAGTTCTGACATTTATTTACATTTAACCATAACCACTCACTCTACATAGGGTTCTGACTTAAAAAATATGGAGAATGTGACCAAGAACTGGTTCATTTTTATTGGTTAGGAAGAAATCCCAGCATGCATCTGTAGGATTTGTCTATATATTTGGGGAGGGGGATGATTTTTTAGCAGCCATTCCTTTTGGGTTGGAACTAACAGAAAGTATAGTTATGAAGGGAATTTGAAAATGTATTTTATTCATTTTTTTAGTGTATTTTCAAAGTCCCAATAACTGGTGAAAGATTAATTCTTTATGTGAAAAATAATTTACTTTCTTTTCTTTGCAGGCATATTTTCAACGAGTGCTATCTTCCAAATCCGCATTTAAAGCCAAAATGTTATCCTACATTGCTGCTTTTGGCTGCATCCTGATGGCACTTCCTGCAGTTCTTTTTGGCGCTGTTGCCGCTTCAACAGGTAAAAAAAAATCATTTAAAAACCCTTAGTCCCAGAAATCACAAACGTAATAGATCATATATTAGGCATTTGTACAATATTTATGTTTGCGTAGAGCATCAATACTGTTTAACTGTATAGAAAGATTCTAAACATAATGAGGTGTTACCACAATAATAATTTTACAGGTTCAAAGTCACTAGTATTTAACTGTGTCAATGCATTACATATGCTTTTAATAGCTCTAAAACAAGTGCCACAAGGACTATGACAATTCTAATTACAAAGGGAAGCAACTCTTTGTACTAACCACTCTTTGTGCTGAAAAGAAAAATGATCACTGCTGACGAGGCATTCTCTGGCCAAGACTTAACCTTCAGCCCTCTGCATTATTAATATCACTTCCCTTTCCACTGCATTCTTTTTCAAAGCCTTTCACTTACAGTAACCTTATTGATAATTTCACTCAAAGTTGTTTTCTGTTGCTATAGCAGGATATGACAACACAACTATGAAATTAAAATGTGACTGTTCAGAGATCAGAGTCACTTTCAGTGGAAAGATAAACTTCTGGTACAGCAAATGATACAGTGCGATAAAGGTTAATGATGTGCAAAGTGAACAGAAGTTTTCTTACCAAGTATGAACCAACAGAAAGTAGCACAAATTGCAAATATCTTAAATCAAGGTAAAGGAAAGAATGGGTTGCAAGATATGGTACATCATCATAGTCTTTCGAGATTTTGTAAAATCCATGTCTGACCAACCAAGAGTGACTTTATAGAACATATGAAGAACCCACACCTTATTAGGCAGGTAGTTGTCATGTTTCTGTTCATCAATTTAAATATCTAAGTATAAATTTAATATAAGGGTTTTTCTCTGTATTTTGTTCAGTACAGGGGGGAGAAGGACTGTTTCAAGCAGTGTTCATTGTTTTGGTCAAGGTGCGATGTATAAATTGTCGTCTAAATTACACAAAGATGAAAACAATACTGACATTTCATTTTAACAGACATATTTACAAAAATATCTTGAAATACTAAAGAGTAAATTTATTAAAAAAAATAAAATAAAATAAAAAAATCACCATTAGCTTCAACTACGGCTTCCAGGCAACTTTGGAATCTCCTGCAACTCTTCTGCGCGATCTTCTAGTTTAAGTTGGTGAATGCTGCCATAATCCTTGCCTTCAGTTCATCTTTGGTGTTACAAGGAGTTTTGTTGGTCTCTTGCTCAAATGCACCCCCTACATAATAATCAAGGGGTTTGCAGTCTGGGGAGTTAGGTGGCCAGATGTAAGGGGTGATGTGGTTGCAGAAATTATCTGGCACCCATGACTGGGTTCTCCTGCTTGTGTTGCATGATACAGAGTCTTGTTATCAGACATAGGGTCTTTCAGCAGCTACCCACTTGAACCAGGCTGCACTACCTCCTCAGGGATCTTCATGTAGGTCTCCATGTCGAGTCTGAGGCCCTGTGGGAAGATGAATAGAACCATAATGTCACCATCACTAGTGATCACTCCAAAAACCTTCATAATCACCATTAGACTCATCCAACTCTTTCTGAATCCTCTGCACTCTCCTCAGATCGACATGCAAACACTCTGAAATGTTTGTATTGGAGCTTTTGGCATGAATGCTAAGCAGTACATCATGCTGTTTCCAAATTTCTGTCAGAGTGAATTGTATCAGGCAGCCCTTTTTCTCAAGACGGTGCCCAAATATAGCAATCAACAAAAATCAGAAACAATGTGCATGTGCAAAATTAAAAATATAAAATGGCAACAATTTACTCATGCATCCTGTAAATGTGAAATATATACCTTGAAACTACTTACACAATGGCTTTTCAGAGATAAAATCTATACATCAAACATTTTGTGGTTCACCCATTCATCAGGTACAAAAAGTTATTATATATATATGTTCTTTTTATAGATACAAATATTTAAGTAAATTCTCTATTTATAATAAATAGTATTAACAACATTTACTGGCCTGAATGTCCAAGAAATTTTCATAGGCCAATAAATGTTTTTAATACTGTTTATTATAAACAAGCATTTACTTAAATATTTGTATATATATAAAAGACCTATAAATATAAAAATATCTTTTATATATATATATATATATATATATATATATATATATATAAATAAATATATATATATATAATTATTTATATATTATATGGTACTTATTAGAAAACTCAATATCAGAGATAGAGCTAACATATTCGGTTGGATATCCAAACAAATATATATATATATATATATATATATATATATATATATATATATATATATATATATATATAAAAAGGAGTATTTCTAGAACAAAAATTTTCAAACATGTTTTTTTTTTTTATTAAATCCTTCAAATTTCCGAATAAGTTGTTTTGTTATCAGTAAATTTGCCAAAATTCATATTAATTTTTATTTTAAATTACTTTACCCTCTCATTCCCCAAGTAGTTTTGAATGTTGTTACACACAGAAGAATCCTTGAAAATAAATGTAGCAACATTCAAAAGTACTTGGGAAAGAAAAAATATAAAATGATACTCCCACTGCCATATTTTATTCAAACTGAGAATGAAGCAGAAGACTAAATATGTTCTCAATCTGAATTGAGTTGTATCATTTGCCTAAAATCATTATCACCATCAATTTTCAAATTAAATCAGAAAACTTAATTTCCCTTCTTTTTTTTTTTTAAACAGATTCTAAAACTTTGATGCACAAAAAATCTATAGTTTTCTTTCAAAAAATAAGTACAAACAAAAAGAAAAAAACAAAAATTGTGTATTTAAAATTTAAAAAATTTTCTTACTATAATAGGTTTTAAAAATTTCTTTTTAAAAAAATTCTCAATGCCCAGCCTTCAACAAGGTATGGCACAAAGGATTGCTACATAAGCTTTCCAGTTATGGAATCACTAGAAGGCCTTTTTAATTATAAAATCATTCCTAACAGTTAGTCCTCCAAGGCCCTGGCAGTCAACACAGGCATCCCCTAGAGCTCACTTCTGGCACCAACTCTCTTTCTGATTTATATAAATGATGATCTGCCTAAAAATATATTCAAATCATCTGTAAATATCTATGTTGATGATAGGACGATATACGGGTAGACCTCTAAAACTCTTGATGATCAGAGATTGGCAGCTGATTTCTCATTTGATCTAACACCAACTTCCCAGTGAGGAAAAAACTGTCTGGTTACATTCAATGTCTCTAAAATCAAAATGGTAACATTCCATAACTGCTGATCAAACCCTGAACTACCGTCAAACATGAACAGATGTCTCCTTGAGAATGCCCTATGCCTTGAGAAAATATTGGATACCTCTTATATACGATCCATTGCTAAAGATGCAGGTAAAATGATCAGCTCTCTGTACCATTCCAGTAAGTACCTGATTTCTCATGGTATCCTTTACCTTTATAAGAGCCAGATCAGGCCAAAAATAGAGTACTGTTGCCATTTCAGGGCAGGAGCTGTTCAGTCCTCATTTTCCAGTCTCAATAGAGTTCAAAAGCATTTCCAAGTCCTTGTTGGAGAAGAATTGGTTTAGTTTGGTTTGGTCTGGTTTGTTTTACAGCATATCAACCTCAATGGGTCATTTAATGCCAACAACTTTTTTTTTCCTGGTAATATTTTGTTTTGTCAAAAATGTATTTCTGGTAATATTTTTTCCTCAAAAATGTATAGCTGGTAATATTATTTTAAAAAATGTATTGCTGGTAATAGTTTTTTTTTTCTTCAAAAATTTATTTCTGGTAATAATTTTTTTTACAAATTTTTCTGGTATTAAAACCTATTTTTACACTTTCATAATGCTTTTTACCTCAGTTTCGGGGTTAACTATTTGCCCATAGCTGGGACCCCAACAGGTGCTACCACCCTAGGTCAGGGTGGACCTGGGAACACCAGCTATTAAGAGGTGGTTCCATGCTCCTCAAAACCTCCTGATCAGAGGCCTTGCTGTTGGACGTAGTTTATCGTCTTACACTGGACGCGGATATAGTTTATCGTCATACTTAAGATGAGGAGAAGAATTTGAGAGTAGAGTTAAAGGGAAATTACCGAGACACACGAAAGAGTTAAAGGGAAATTACCGAGACACACGAAAGAGGCATGGCACATGGAACTAGAACAATTTAGCCTGGTGGATGAATTAAGGGGCTCGGTTCAAAATTCCAATCACCTGAAGAAGGTGTTGTGAATATGGCAATAAATGTACATAAGAAAGTGGGTTTATACTATTTCTGTATTCTTGGTCATTGGAGAATATAACAAGCAGACACCCTAACTATTGCCAGTTGCGATGAACAGATGTCCCCACAAGGAGGCACCGTGCCTTGAGAAAATACAGGGTTTCAAACTCACACCTGATCTCATATACACAATCTATCGCTAAAAATGCAGGTAGAATCAACTCACTTTACCACTCCAGTAAGTACCCGACTCCTCATGGCATCCTCTACTTTTATAAGAGCCAGATCAGGCCAAAAATGGAATACTGTTGCTATATTTGGGTGGGAACTGCCCAGTCCTCACTTTCCAGACTTGATAGATCTCAAAAGTGTTGCTGAAGAATTATTTTCCATACTCCAAACTTCACAGACGGGATGTGGTGAGCCTATTGCTGCTCAGTCACTACTACCATGGAAAATTCTCAGACAACCTACATTCCTTGGTTCTGCCAGGTCTAACCTTCATGGCTTGGACCCACCATGTCACACCTGTAGCAAACCACCCACATTCCCTCCATATTACATCAATGAGAACTTCCACTCAAACTGCTTATTCCTGTGAATCATTGCCCTGAGGTATAGTCTCCCAAGAGTATGTTTCCCTGGTCACTACAATCTTAACCCATTCAAGATTAGTTAACCATTATCTTCCCCTCCTATCCATATAAACTAGCCCTTAACATACCCTCTACCTCAGGTGGTCCCCGAGTCTTGTACAGGGGAAACCTTACTATAAAAAAAAAAAAAAAATGCAACCCCACTATTCCTCAGTGCCTCAGCCGCTAGAGAACATGCCCACCTGGTTAGGGCCAGTCAGCTGACAAGCAAATCTGTGTCACTCAACAGGATATTTTACTGTAGCCCATCTTAATTGACAAAAACAAAATATGTAGACTATTTACATTGTATTTTCAAGGACACATGGCACAGTGGATAAAGGCATTGGTTAGATCCAGTGACAGGACCCAAAGAGCGTGAGTTCAATACCTGGTTAAGGCAGTGGAGAACTTGGAGAGGGGAATTAACAGGAGATAACTGGTAACTGACATCCATTAAACATGGCAGGTGGAATTAGAACAAACTACCCCAGTGAGCGAAATAAAGCGTTTAGTTTGACATTCCAATCACCTGAAGAAGGCTGGAGCGTACAACGGCCGAAACATTATGATAAATATGGCGATAAAGATGAGGACAATAGTCCAAATAATGTCAATAGTGAACCAACAACTTCGTCAACAATCTCCACACACAGAGAAAAATAAAAGAAATTAAAAATAAAAAGATTAAAATATCTTTGCCTTCAGTAAAACTAGCTTAAATTCTTCCGGGGAATAAATTACGTAGCCGGAAACTAGTTTAATGCTTTCACTGGAAGTCACGTGAGCAAAAAGGGTAGACCACCGTGTTGGTGCAGTTGACAGGTTTGAAATGGCGTAAAATATTTTCTACAACATTCAGTTCAACATTCCAACCACCTGAAGAAGTCTGAAGCCTACAACGGCCAAAACGTTGTAATAAATGTGGCAACAAAGATGAGGACAATAGTCCGAATAATGTAAATAGTGTACATAATACCTCATCTCAGAAATATAGACAGATAAAATATGTATATATTAATATCTCCTGAGGCACTTCAACATGGTGCAAGGGTTAGCAGACTTGTCTTGGTAAATCAATTGCAACTGAGTAGTGAGTTTGATCCACACTGTGTGCTCCATACTCATGGCTTTGTGGCATATTGAAACTATATTTAAAGTCCTCTCATTCTCTTTCACTCCCAGTAGCCCCTTGTGTCTTAGTGGTGTTATCACTTTGCTTGGGATGAATTAATTAAAAAATATAAAATAAAATAAAAAAAAAAATCACTATTAATACCTCCAATAAATTAAGATCAAAAATCATAAACACAATGTTATTATCATCGGTAATCTATTATTTTGTTAACTATATGACTTCCTTGAGTTTTATGATAACAGACAGACAGACATCTGTTGAATTATAATAGGATATATGATAATGGTAATATTAACCATTTCCTTATAAGAAAATATTTGGCATTCATTGATCGAGCAGCCTGTGTTATTGTCAATAGAAAATATTAAATTTTTCTATTGAAACAATAGGTTTCTCAAATGCCCTGTCACCATTTCTTCTTATATGGACAAGGGTTTCCTTCCTAATTTTGTGTTTGTTGTAGTGTGGAATGTCAAAATCTTGATTATGTCATTATTTTCATTTTACAAGTAAAGTTAGTCACTTGCACACTGTTCTCTACCTTAAAACTTTTAACACATACACAAGTGATATTTTTTTATTCTTTTCATGACAAGCAAGGCAATAAAGTCACTAAGATGCAAAGTATATTCACTTTCTTCCTGCAAGGGACATAAGAAAGCCTTGCAACAATTAAGGAAATCCCTCTAAAAATTGTCATATTTACACTATTTACATTGTTTGAACTGTTGTCCTCATCATTATTGCCATATTCATAACATTTCGGCCATTGTATGCTCCAGCCTTTTTCAGGTGATATACATTAGAATTTCAAACCAAACACTTTATTTAGTCCACCAGAGTAGATTGTTCTAGTTCCCCATGCCATGCCTTTTCTGAATATCACAGTATCAGTTCATTCTCTTAGTAACGCAACTCTCCAAGTTCTGTTCACCTCTGCTATGGCCAGGTATTGAACTGACAACTCTTTCAGTCAAGTCACTGGATTACTCCAGCCAATGCTTTTATCCAGTGGGCAATGTGCCCTTGAGGATGTGGAACTAGAACAATCTCCCCCCATCTAGAACAGTCGAAACATCATGAATATGGCAATAAAGATGAGGACAACAGTTTGAACAATGTAAATAGTGTAAATAGTTACACTACCTCATCTCAAAAATATAGACAGATGTCATGATATATTAGTAAAATACAGATTTGATTAACTTTTAAAAAAAAATGATTTCAAGCTTGTTCCTTGTTACTTAAAATCAGGCTTAGACTCATCAATTCAAGGCACGGATTTCAAAAGCACTTGATGCAGCTTCTCAGCCTAAGATTTTATGAGTTCCCCAAAGTCATCTGCTTATATGCACTTCAGACCAAAACTAGCATGGGGCTGAGAGGTTCTTTGGATTCATAGATTCTTTAATTTTCTCATTAATTCTAGTAAGAGCTTTTTTCGTTCCCTATTTCTGCTTTCTTAATCAACTTTCCAGATTTGGAAAATTATCCACCTTCCTCAGTAGTCACAGCAATTTGCTTTTCATTTCAACTCCAACCTGCTTCACTTCACATCTGTCACTGCTACTCTGCACAAGCAGGGTTAAACTCGGTCCCTTCCTCATTGGTATTCTAACTCTGCCTACTTCTCATGTCACATAACTGTCTTTGTCACAAATCTAATTTTTAAAATGCATAGGAGAAAGGGTGTGATTTATTTTCCTCATTAATTTTAATTCTCTGACTCCTTTCACACAAACCAGAACACCTTAGCATGACATGATTGATCATCCTAACCTCAACCATAAGGAAAAGGGATCATTCCTTTTTTTCGTTTTCGTCAATGAAAAATAGTATTCTCATCTGCTTCTCTTTCTGTTAATAATGTGTTTTTCTAATTTTTCAAGGAAGAGAAGAGACTTATTTCCCAAATCTGTTTTCATCAATGAAAATATATTTGTTTACCTAAATTCTCAATTTTTTCATCTCTGGGCCAGTCACTGTTTCATCAGAGACACAGGCCTGATCACTTGCCTGTTATGACAAATTAATTTTCATAATCTTAACCTTTGCAAGTGGGTTCATTCTGTTTCCATTTCTTGATTCATTTTTGCTGATAAAAATATAATTCTCATCTGCACTTTTGTCTGCCAGTGACATGTGTTTTCCTAATTTCCCAAGAAAATAAAATCGTTTTCCAAATCTGTTTTTGTCCACATACCAGACTCTCAGTAGATAAGACAAACTTTAGGAGAGGAGAAATCCAGACATCAAATTCTCAACAAGGAAAATGTCTGTCTGTCTGTCTTTCTTTCTTTCTGTCCTTTGTTTTTTTTCTTTATTTATTTACTTCTTTAATTCTTTCTTTATTTAGAATTAACATTTAACCACCTCATAGCCTCAGTGTCACACTATGAGTATTGCATCACATTTCTTTAGTTTGACAGGAAACAATATTTGAATGAATATCTTTGTATGTTGACTTTCACTTTCATTTCCCAATTCGTTAACAAAAATATATTTATTTGCTTAAAATTCTCAAGGAAGAGATAAAATTGTTTTCCAAATCTGTTTTCGTCTGCATACCAGACACTCAATAGATAAGACAAACAAACTTTAGGAGAGGAGAAATCCAGACATCAAATTCTCACCAAAGAAAATGTCTCCACTATCTTCCAGCCTATATTTCATTTTGGGTCTTTAACCCTTTTCTTTTCCTGCTTAGAATTAATGCTTAACCACCTCACTGAATCAGTGTCGCACATACATCATGTATAAAAAAAAAAAGGGGGGGTATCTTGGCGTGGTGTAATGGTTAGCAAGCTTGTCTTGCTAAAACAGTTACAATTGAATAGTGAGTTTGATCTTCACTGGGTACCCCATACAGTCGGCCTTGTGCTATGCTTAGAAAATCCCCATGTATAAATAAAAGACAATGTATCAAGTAGCAATTCTGAGTAACAGTCCAAGTAAAAGTCCGAGTCAAAGTAGTACAAGGAGTCATTAAAAAATCTTCCTGTGTTCATCTGTTTCCCGTCATATGAAAACTCTGTTCATAAGCTAAAACAGTTTGTTTAATGGATGTTGGCTCAGAATGAGAAATTTGAAATTATTAATTTGCAAAGTTTCAGCTCTTAGGCATTTATAGTTATTTTCTGTTAAATATTCACACCAATTCTTGTTTAATACTACATCCAAGTTTGGTTTGATTTGTTTTACGGCATATCAACATCTCAATGGGTTATTTAATGCCAACAAGATTTTTATTGCTGGTAATAATTTTTTTTCAAAAATGTATTTCTGGTATTAAAACTTATTTTTACACTTTTCATGGTGTTTTGACCCCAGTTTCAACTATCCTAACAGGTGTTACCACCCTGGGTCAGGGTGGACCTGGGAACACCAGCAATTAAGAGGTGGTCCCACACTCCTCAAAGCCTCCTGATCAGAGGCTTTGTTGCTGAATGTAGTTTATCATCTTACCCAGGATCTGGATGTAGTTTATCATCATACCCAGGATCTGGATGTAGTTTATCATCATACCCAGGATCTGGATGTAGTTTATCATCTTACCCAGGATCTGGATGTAGTTTATCATCATACCCAGGATGCACTACATCCAAGTGCCATGTACAAATAGCCAGTCCAAGTCAAAATAGTAAGAGGAGTTATTAAGAAATCTTGTCATGCAAAAAAAACTGTCTTCATAGAATACTGGGCTAAAAAAATAAATTATTTATTATAAAAATTTTGTATTTTATTTGCTTTCTTCTTTTTCTTTCCTTTTTTTCTTTGTGGACAAGATGAATTTTTTTATAAATTTTCGCCCCTTTAACCTTCCACAATTTCATTGATTATGATCAGTTTTGATCAAGTGCCATTTGTACCCTATCAGATTTCTTTTCAAATATTTTATCTGAAACTGTCATTCTCTAATCATTTTGTTTTCTGTTTTTAACTTTTCAAAGATTGGAATCAGACAGAATATGGCCGTACCCCACAAGGAGACGATTTAAAACTGGTGCTACCTCTCTGTCTTCAGTATATGTGTCCAGACTTCATCTCCTTTTTTGGGCTGGGAGCCATTTCAGCTGCTGTAATGTCATCGGCTGATTCCTCCATTCTATCTGCTGCTTCGATGTTTGCTCGGAACGTCTATAAACTTATTTTTCGTCAAAAAGTAAGTATATTCTATGAAGGAAAAACTAATCACCCAGTAAATATTTTGTGATAATAGGAAAAGTGGAATTACAACCAAAAGATTTTTTTGTAAAAATAGGAAAAAAAAAAAAAATATATATATATATATATATATATATATATAATATAATATAATATATATATATATATATATATATATATAATATAAATATATATATATATATATATATATATATATATATATATATATATATATATATATATATATATATATATATATATATATATATATATATATATATATATATATATATATATATATATATATATATATAGATATATATTATATATATATATATATATATCTTTGCTCTGTCTAACCACATCAAGCACTATTATGTTTATACCTCTTGACTAAAGTTGATGATTATTTATTTGCTTGCCTGTGTATACATGCCAACATACATGTATACAGTTACTTATATAAGGTCATTTGACTTACCTTACCCTAAAAATTAAAAAATTAATCAGTTTGTCTAATGATCACAAACAGCGTGAAACCCAGGGTCACAATCTCACATAAATCCAACTATATATATATATATTTACTAAACAAAAGATCAGAGATAATCTTCAAATGTAGGCATGAGAATAAGTACCTATTATCCAAATTTATACCAAATGGATAAACATAAAAAAAAAAACAATCACTATTTAGTTCAAGCTACCATCACAATAATTATAATCTTTGTTATTATCATTGCACCACCATTAGTAATCACTTCTATCACTTTACAATAACTATTAGCTACTAATATCATTACCACCAACCCCCAACACCATTACTAGCACATCACATCTACTATTAACATATAAATCCGCTATAATTATTAACATAAATTACTCCCCCTCCCCCCAGCATATTTAATACCACCAAATAAAAACCAATAAGATCAGAGATAATTTTCAAATGTAGGCATGAGAATAAATACCTACTATCAGTATTTATACAAAAAAAATAAAAATAAAAAAAAAAAAAAACAATCACTATTTAGTTCAATCATCACAATTTAGTTCTTTTGTTATTATCATTACCACCATTAGTAATCAATTATCACTTTACAATAACTATTAGCTACTAATATCATTACCACCCCCAACACCATTACTAGTACATCACATCTACTATTAACATATAAATCCGCTATTTATTAATTCCCCTCCCCCAGCATATTTAATACCATCAAATAAAAACCAATAAGATCAGAATAACAAAATGTAGGCATGAGAATAAGTACTTATTATCAAATTTATACCAAATGGCCAATCACTATTTAGTTCCTACCATCACAATAATTATAATCTTTTGTTATTATCATTACCACCATTAGTAATCACTATCACTTTTACAATCTATTACTATTATCATTACCACCAACCCCCAAACCATTACTAGCACATATAATTAACATATAAATCCGCTATAATTAACATAAATTTCCCCCTCCCCCTGCATATTTAATACCACCAAATAAAAATAATAAGATCAGAGATTAAAAACTGAGAATAAATACCTACCATCAGTATTTATACAAAAAAATAAAAAATAAAACACCAACAATCAAGTTCAAGCTACCACCAAAATAAAACATGTATTGTTATTATTCTCCCACCACCATTACTAATCACTTAAAACCAATTTACAATAACTATTAGCTACTTATATTATCATTGCCACCAATCCCTTACAACATTTATCCTCACATCTACTATTATCATATTTTATAATTATTGATGTAAACCCCCTGTCCCCCAGCATATTTATACAAATAAAAACCAATAAGATCAGAGATAATTTTCAAATTAGGCATGAGAATAAATACCTATTATCCAAATTTAGAAAATGATAAACATAAAAAAAAAAAAACTGATTTAGTTCAAGCTACCATCACAATAATTATAATCTTTGTTATTATCATTGCACCACCATTTAATGATATCACTTTACAATAACTATTAGCTACTAATATCATTACCACCAACCCCCAACACCATTACTAGCACATCACATCTACTTTAACATATAAATGCTATAATTATTAATATAAATTACCCCAGCATATTTAATACCATCAAATAAAACCAATAAGATCAGAGATAATTTTCAAATGTAGGCATGAGAATAAATATTTATTATCCAAATTTATACCAAATGGATAAACATAAAAAAAAAAAACAATCACTATTTAGTTCAAGCTACCATCACAATAATTATAATCTTTGTTATTATCATTGCACCACCATTAGTAATGGATCACTTTACAATAACTATTAGCTACTAATATCATTACCACCAACCCCCAACACCATTACTAGCACATCACATCTACTATTAACATATAAATCCGCTATAATTATTAACATAAATTACTCCCCCTCCCCCCAGCATATTTAATACCATCAAATAAAAACCAATAAGATCAGAGATAATCTTCAAATGTAGGCATGAGAATAAGTACCTATTATCCAAATTTATACCAAATGGATAAACATAAAAAAAAAAACAATCACTATTTAGTTCAAGCTACCATCACAATAATTATAATCTTTGTTATTATCATTGCACCACCATTAGTAATCACTTCTATCACTTTACAATAACTATTATACTAATATCATTACCAAACCCCCAACACCATTTAGCACATCACATCTATATATATATATATATAATTATTAATATAAATTACCCCTCCCCCATATATTTAATACCACCAAATAAAAACCAATAAGATCAGAGATATTTTCAAATGTAGGCATGAGAATAAATAACCTACTATCAGTATTTATACAAAAAATAAAAATAAAAAAACACCAACAATATATTTTTAGTTTTACCACCAAAAATAATTACATGTATTGTTATTATTCTCCCACCACCATTACTAATCACTTTTACCAATTTACAATAACTATTAGCTACTTATATTATCATTGCCACCAATCCCCTTACAACATTACTATCACTTCACATCTACTATTATCATATAAACCAGCTATAATTATTGATGTAAACTACTCCCCGTCCCCCAGCATATTTAATACCACCATAAAAATAATCAATAAGGATTACAAACTGCAATTTCTACCAGTTATATATACGCAGTCATCAAAAACAAGCAAATAATGAGCTTTAAATTAATAACAAATCAACCTTAAAAAATTAAAAATAATAGCAATTTTTACCTATCATAATTTTACACAGACCCCACCACACGTATATACATGCATGTGAGGAAATATTATTCAGCGAAAAAATAGAAAAATGTTCTGATTGCTGACGTGTATACATTTATGATATTCACGAGAAATTTTTGCTACACTTCCGATCTTTGAATTTCAACATACAAATGCGTATGTATATAGACAACAGCGCACATATACATAGATATGTCAAGTCCCATACTGTCCACATATGTTTATATTGGTATGAGCCCCGACGGTGAGTGTGTGTGTGCCTGCACCTCAACGGATGTACAGACATGCATCTATGTTTGCGTTAGCATGAGTGACATCATGATAAATTTCCCCACACATCCATAATAACACCAAGACACGCAATCTACATAAATCCAACCAAAATTTTTAATAAATTAATATATATATTATATATATATATATAATATATATATACCCATATATATAAATTAAATAATTAAGAAACAACAATGTTAAGTTTTTATGACTATAATTTATTTCCCCAGAAAATAATTTTCATGGTTCATTTCACATCTATAGTTATTTATCTGGTTTTACATATATATCTCTGGATACATATATCTTTGGAATTTAACACACATCACCAAATATATATATATATCAATTTGATATTTATTTAAAATGATTTTTGTAATGTGTATTGTGTTTATTGTGTTTGTGTCACCATTTTTAATGTAAAATAAACTGACACACACACAGATTTGAAAGAACCTGTTTCAAATGAATGTTAATTCAAATTTTTGGTCATTCAGTATTGATGTTTACCTAATTTTGGATACTAGGTTTTTTAATCTTGTTTTAGGATTTATAATGGATAATGGCTAAGAAATAGAGAAAAGAAAGTAAATATAATTGATCAAAATTGAATATGGAATTCCTTCACCTGACATTTTTTAAAGCTGGAAAACAACTTGGAATCAATAAATATTTATCAAAAGGACAATCAATTTTACAGGAGACTTTCATCAAAAATAGACCAAGACCAGGACATCTGTTGTGGATCCAGAACATCAAAACTCATTAAACAGGTGCATGAAGGTGTAATCCAATTAAAGGTGAGAAAATTGCCTAAGAAGGCCAGAACATTGAGAAAAACTATGTGAAGGCTATGTTGAAATGATCTGAGGATGTCGCCCCCTACAAGATAACTAAGAGATAGCTTCCTTTCAGCAGTTACAATGAAAAAGAAGCTTCAAAGAAGTAAGCAGTTGCTAAAATGGATTTGTGATGGCATGTTACAAAATAGCATCTTCACTGATGAGAAATTGTTCACTGCTGAACAAACTTTTAATCATCAAAATGATCATGTTCTTTTATCAAGTCGTCAATCAGTTCTTGCCAGTTCAGGAAAATGCCTCAGACCTGAGAAACTGGCATCAGTTATGGTTTATTATTTTTAATTTGTGATCTACAGTGTGCAGCATAAATGCTATTTCAAATGAATTCTACGTTTAAATTTTTGGTCATTACATTGTTGTTTATGGCTTTAATAGTCACCCAACAATGGATATTTGTTTTTTTCAAAGTGTTTTAGTATTTACTGACTACAATGTCTACAGAAATTAAAAGAAAGTATGAAAAAAACATGAAAATGGAATGACTTCACCTGTTTTTTTTAAAGCTGGAAAACAATTTGGAATCAAATATTTGTTCCCCCCTATATATATATATATATATATATATATATATATATATATATATATAGGATTAATACGAATATGAAATTTGTCACTTAGCTGATTGATGTTATATTCAGAACTCCCAACTCTAGAGTTTCATTGACAGACCTTTTAGTAATCGCTTTGTCCACTTGTCAGAAGGCACCAGTATGTTTTAGAAGTTTGCATGAACCACTAATAGAACTAACCTCAAATCATTACAATTGAACCTTCAACACGAACTTCTACTGTTGCATCGTGTGCTGGGATAGAACCTTAGAAACACACTGAACCAAATGTTAAGTCACAAAAAGACACCCAACTATTGCAAATTTTACCATCAAGTGTCATGACACAAACTTAGAACTAACAAGAATAATGTACCATTATAAATCAACCAAGTGAGTGCCCTTTGCCACTTTAGAAAATCCACTAGTGAACTAAGGAGCTGTCTTGCAATCAGTATTTTCTTATGTACTAAATGTTCACCCTATACAAGGGCCGCTGAAGGTAGTGGGTTACTAAACGCGGTTGTTATGTGAGCAGTAAGAGTAAGGGGCGTAGTTTATGAACATATGTGGGAAAGATAACAGTTAACCCTAGACACAAAGAGGCTAAGACTGTAGTGGTTAAGAAAGCACCCTCTTAGGATTTTGTTTGACAAAGAAACAGTTACTAATGGAATATGAAGGGAATGAGGGGAATTTGCTTCAATGTACATATTTTTCAGTTTGTACCCCCCCCACCACCACCACCACTTTTTTAATTATTTTCTAAAGAAGAAAAAAAAAAGGCGAGAATAAAACATTCCTTGGAGAAACAGGTTTTTATTAAATATATTTCTAACTAATCGACCATGGAATTTTCTAGTTATACATATATACATTCACACCTTTACTATTCCCAATCTGGTTAATCCCTGCCATAGACTGATAGTACAAGTAAACTTGCGATAAAAAGCAACCGAAAAACCGATACAGATGAGGTTTCTTGGTTTCATCATCCCCAAAACAATTTTAATCATGCTGAATCACTTACATTGACAGAATAACTTTTTTAATTAAATTAATAAATTCAAAACAGTATTTACATTTAATAACAATTCAATTAAGAAACTATATTTTTTCAAGAATTATGACAGAACAAAGTTTTTAAATTGACAGAACAAAAGTTTTTTTTTTTTTTAATTGAATCAATAAATTCAAAACAAAAACATTATTTAAAGCAATGGTCAGCAAACTTCAATAAATTCAAGCATGTCAAATAATTAAAAAAAAGAAAGTTTCTGGTAAGGCAACATTGATGTCTATTTCATGTTACCTACACATCCCACTACTTAATCAAACAAGGAAACCATCCTAGGTATGACAATAAACTACATCTGCATCCTGGGTAAGACGATAAACTACATCCAACAGCAAGGCCTCTGATCAGGAAGTCTTGAGGAGCATGGAACCAACTCTTAATTGCTGATATTCCCAGGTCCACCCTGATCTGGAGTGGTAGCACCTGTTGGGGTCCCAGCTATGGGTAAATAGTTAATCCCCAAACTGGGGTCGAAACACTATGAAAGTGTAAAGATAGGTTTTAATACCAGAAATACTTTGTAAAAAAATTATTACCAGCAATACACTTTTGAAAAAAAAAAATATTACCAGCTATACATTTTTGAAAAAAATATTACCAGAAATAGATTTCTTGAAGGAAAAAAAATATTACTAGCAACACATTTAAAAAAAAAAAAAAAAAAAATTGCCAGCAATAAAAATTTTGTCAGCATTAAATAACCCATTGAGGTGTTGATATGTCGTAAAACAAATCAAACCAAACCAAACCAAAGAAGGAAAAAATAAATAAAAGAAAGAAAGGAAGAACTAGTAAAAGTATTTGAAAGAATATGTGCAATGTATCACTTTTCATAGGGAAATTTAGTTGCATCCCTGAGATACACAGATGGGAAAGTTACTGGGTCCTTTAAGATTTTTATGCACCATGGATGCGGGGCACACACACCTATCAGTATCTCTGCAGTCATGAATTGAAAAAGACATGATTGCCTAAATGTCTATCATGTATGGCACTTCAGCTGATATGAAAAATAAATGAATAAAAACAAAACATTTTACTCCAAATAAAGATTAAATCACTTCAGTCACATGTTCTTGCCAATGTTCCAATGACTTCATACCTCTATTATTGTAATAAAAATTTAAACTAATTATTTTTTTACTTATTTTTCAGGCTTCTGACCAAGAAATTTTATGGGTGATGCGCTTGGCTATTTTTGGTGTAGGGGCCCTTGCGACCGTAATGGCACTGAAGGTGACCTCTGTCTATGATCTTTGGTTCCTGTGCTCCGATTTTGTCTATGTCATTTTGTTCCCCCAACTGGTGGCTGTAGTCTATATTGAGCATGCGAATACCTACGGTTCCCTGGCAGGCTATATCATGGGCGTGTTCCTGCGTCTGTCAGGAGGTGAACCAACTCTCTTCATTGAACCAGTAATCTTCTACCCCTTCTACGATTATGAGACCCACACACAGTTGTTCCCCTTCAAAACTCTCGCAATGTTGATATCCCTAATCACTATCGTAGGGGTCTCCTACTTCTTCAAATATATATTTGAGAATGCACACCTACCACGGCGCTATGATATTTTTATGTGCATTGTTAACATACCAGACGAAGTTATCGCCCTTGCCATGAGAGAACCAGCCAATGAACTGACAGCAATAACACCAACCCATGAAATAAACGGTAAAATTAACCCTGCTCTTAAGATTTCCCAAGAAGATTTGGCTGGCAAGGAGCAATCCAATTATGGATACATCGGAACATCAAACCCCTCTCTTGGATCCAATGGATAATTCCATTCTGCAGTTCATAGTTTCAAAAATATGCAGTTTAGACAAGAACCATTGCATTAAAAACAAGAAATAATTATATGAACCAATGGACGATACCGTCAGTATGGATACAATATAGCTCCCCCATCCCCATTTTTATTAATGAAGACAATGTTAACCACCAAATATGATTTAGATAAGTGTTCAATTGAAATTTTGGGGAGGGTGGGGGGGAATATGAGAACAAAACAAATATTTCAAAAAAAAAAAAAAAAAAAAAAAAAAAGAAAAGAGAAAAGAAAGAAAGAAGAAAGAAAGAAAAAATGAAGAAACAAAAATTGTTAAGAAAAGGAGAAATTTAAACACGGAAACAGAAGAAAAAAAAAAAAAAAAAAACAAATCCCAGGCATAATTTTATTTATAGATCAAACTCTGTTTGGAATAATTTTTGCAGAGTTTCCATTTCTTTTGTCGTCGTTAGTTGACCTCCAACCCCACTTAATTCCAGTGTTTGCTATTAGTTGGTGCTAATTATAAAAATAGATAAAGTCAGTGCGACAATCTGTTGGACTAAAGACACAGACCTGCCTGGAGATTTTGACCCAGTGCTTTTTGGTGTGCAGTTCATTTTAAGAAAAGAAAAGACATTTTGCATGTACAAACCTTGCAACTGGTTCACTGTCGATTGTGATTAGTCATTTGTTTTGGTTTTTGTATTCAAATCTGTTTGGTGAATCGTACTTTAAAAGAAACGGCAAGGAGGAAAATTTCCCTTGAGAAATTGGTTTTCAACCACAATGATTGTAACTAATCAGCCATGTTATTTTCTGACTCAGGTGTATGCACACACACAAACGCACATGAATATTCTTGCTTCATAAATCAAACATCTATACACAAAAGTATAAAACCCCAAACATTCATCTTTTTAAATGATCACATATATACATACATACATATATATATATATAAAATATAGTTTTAAGGTATGCTATATTTATGGGCTAAAGTGATTAATATAAGGGATAGAGCGTATATAAATATAAAAGTGGACATTGAGGTCAACACCCAGAGGCAAGTTTGTTTCATGCTAAATACAATCATCAGGCCATGAACGATTGCATTGATTATGAAACAGACTGTTAGCTCTGGGTGTTGACTTCAATGTCCACTATACTCACACACAAAATAAATTTATATGGTTCCTCGCCATAGTTTTAACAGTCTGGAACAAAAGGAATATTAGTATAAATTTTATGTCTTATTTTACATTGAACACTGTTTGATTACCAACAGCATTCACTGTGCAATACACACACAGTGAAATTATACTCCATTTGTTCACATTTTATCTGGAGATATATATGTGTGTGTGTGTGTGTATATATATATATACGCACACACACACATATGCATACATATATATACACACGCATACATACATACACAAATATATATATATATATATATATATATATATATATATATGATTGAAAAGAGATTTGATTATGCATTTTGCCATTGAAACCTTGAATGGCAAAATATATAATCAAACTATTTTCATGAAACATTTCCTTTTGTCAAATTTAAAAACTATGTAACAATTTCTATATCATATGTATGTATGTATGAATGTGAAAACCAAGAAAATTCCTTTATCATAGTTTTTTATATATATATATATATATATATATATATAAAATACACTGATTTTCAATCTATATTCATAAATACATAAAAAAAGGCAACTCATTTTCTCTCTCTCTCTCTCTGTCATTCACATACATACATACATTTATTGTCCGTTCTACAAGAATGGATTAAGAAGTCTAAAACATGACATAATAGCTTATTAGCTAAATGTTGATCTGGAAGTTTCACTGTATAATATTCAATCTTTATGATTAATATTTACCTCTGAATTACGTGCACTGACAAGGCAGGAGATTATTTTGAAAAATATTTGTTGTGTACAATAAATGCTTTTTTTTTTGCATCATTAGGCTACTGACTTATTGATGCACCTACATCTACTCATAAGCACACAGAATTTTCTCACACACACACAGAGCACATATTTGCAACGAGAGTCAAGGTGTTGGGATGGGAATGTTAGAAACATTATGCAGACATAGATCATTTCACTTAAAATTCTAAGGTTTTTTGCATTAAGTAAATGAAATATTTGCATGATATTTATGCAGTACAGGTGATAAATATTTAACTATTATTACTCCATTTGCACTAGCATCTTCATCTTTGTTGTTTTAGTCAATTCATCTCAGCCAATATGTTTTCCAACCTTTTGCATGTATATAGCATTTTTTTTTGGTTAATGATTGTTAAAATAAGGTTAATAAAAAAACAAACATTAAACTTGTCTGCACAAATTTTAAATGATAAATTAGATTCTTTTCCAAGTGTATACCTTATCTGCATCAACATACAAAAATTATTTATGTATGTCAAACATATCATGTATCAGAGTACTTTTTACTTTATTATATAAATAGTACTACAACTAATAATAATACTAGCATGAAAACAAATATGGCACTGAGAGAGATTATGGAATGAATGGTGAATTTATAGGTTAGGTTTGATCATCTGAAAAGGCTGTTGATTTCTCATAGCTTAGATAGAAGCTGTTGCTTCAGTAACCAGGATTCCCAAAAACAAAATGGCAAGAGTTCTATTCTTACAGAGAGCTTTTTTTACCATTATCATTTGCTTTAGGGGTGGGGTGGGGTCTTTCTATGTCGTCTCTTTGCAGCTGTAGATTGACAGCCTGGATAAAATTTGAAATAAAAAGAAAACTTGAAAAATTCAGAGGAAAGTAAATCCAAGTAAAACATTAATAAAATGTGTTTGAGAAAAAAAAATAAAGAAAAAGAATTTATTTTGTTAAGACCTGAATAAAAATTGAATCATTGATAAAATCAAATATAATTACTCGATTATTGGCTATTGTTCATTTTCAGCCAAGTTGATTTTGTTTGTTATAATTTAAAATCTTTTAGAGTAATCAATTTTATACCCAATTTTAGTTTTACATGATTTTATTCAGAATTAATTCACTTTAATTATCTTATGCCCAAAGAAGTATGACAAACATTACTAGTTATTACATATATAAGATGGAATATACAGGATGCCCTCAAAGTCATTAGACAAATAGAAAAATGTTATTAAAATTACAACATAAACTGGATACTGTTGAAATATTTACATAATATGAAGTAAATAGTGAAGTTTATATACAAATAGCTAATAAACTTCTATATGGCCCCTATTCATTGCACAAAGGACACCTAAGCAATAATTGATTTCTGTTTCTGTCGGAAACATAAAAACATATCAAGAGAATTTTAATAACACGCAACAAAAATTTTATTTTTTCGTAATAACTTTTTGAAATTGTCTAAAAACTGTGGATGGACACCATGTGTGTGTGTGTATATATACATATATATATATATATATATATATATATATATATATATATATATATATATATATATATATATAGTTTTTACTAGTTCAAATGTTTTTTTAAACAATGCAAATTACATCTACCAGACTGCACATTTGAGAGACTTATTAAAGAAAATGTACTCTCTGGCAGGGTCTCTTTATTAAGTCTCTCAAATTCACACTTTAGAAAAACAAACAGAAAAAAACAGAGTATCTTCTCAAATATGTATATCCACAAATTGTTTAGAGTAGTGTGAAATAATATTGGATAAAAAATTGATTCTTCCAAAGAAATTATATCCTAGTTTGCCATAAAAAAATGACAGCAGATTTTGTCCTTCAGTTTCCACATCAGAGTGTTTAAATATAATTATTATATATGTAATAGTTCTTTGAGGGTTGGGTGCATTACTTAATAACAATAGAAAAATGATCCCCCATTATATGTCAACTAAAATTTTATATTAATACACTTAACCCCCCCCTGTCAAAAATGACAACAATTTCTGATGTCCTTACAATTATTAGAAAGTTTTCACATGCGAATTTTGAATATATAAATAAATCACAAGTACAAAAGACATAATTCAAAAAGTTACAGACAAAAAAAACACCACTTTGTACATTATCTAGTAACTAGTATTTGTGTCCATTACATATTGCTATATACAGAAGTAGATAATATAGGAGTATGAGATAATATATATATTATTATGTGACAGATATGAGTAAACTAAAACAGGTATTAACAGATACAGATAGATAGGAAGGTAGACACTCTCCTGTGTATTTGATTGTATAGTGTTGTAAGTATAACATCAGGACAAAAAGTGAACACATTAATAATGTAATTTTATATTATTATATAAAAATAAGATATGTATGCATCAACTTCATTTAATGAAAGAAAATGCAAAAAATATCAAGTGTTCTATATCAATCATAATATGAAAACATCACATACAAATAATAAGTACTATTGAAACAACCAAACTAAGGAACACTTTGCAAAAAATACACTCCAAAAAGCAAGAATTTGGAAATAACAAAGACAAAATTCCAACATTTTGAAATAACAAATATAAAAAAAAATAATTTCAAATCAACAGAAACATTATTATGATTTGAAAGCCTAACAAGAAAAAATATATAAGTTTTAAAATAAAATTTTAAAAGTAATAAAAAAAAAATGATGTCTACTTTTACAGTAATTTGCATTGTACTATAGTTCAAATTTAAAATTCAAATTTGGCTGATATTTACAATTATAATCAATTTAACCCAAGGGCAAATTGACCTTAGTAAATTTGGTGATTACACTCCACTTTGAACATTTTATTTTTGCTTTTATTAATATCTACTACACGACTTGTGTTACTATATAACATGCTACAATTGTTCTTTTTAACCAGAAACAAATATTTTCTTTTATCTACGTAGGTAAGAAAACAAATCTTTATTCTCACATTAGAATTAAACAATTTATTTTTTTCTTATGAAGCAGTTTTTGCTTTTCCATCAAAGTGAATTGTAACTTTTTCTCTAAA